CACTCTTTCTTGCGTCTCACTCTCTCCCTCTCTTTCTCTCAAAGCTCTCTCTCTTGCTAAGGGAATTTTTAAGTGGATCTGAACTAAAAAGGGGATTTCTAAGAAGTTTTCAACACCAAAGCAATGATAGAGGTAAATTCTTTGAAAACTCACTTTAAATTTTTGGATCTTGCTTTGTTGGAACTCATTTTGGTTGAGTTTGGTGATTTCTTGGTTTTTGTTTGATTTTGATGGATTTTGGATGAAACCATGATAGAATTTGGGAATTTTTGATTATTTGAACTTGATTTAGTAAATGGAACCTGATTTTGATGAATCCTCATTAAAATATCTTGAAATCGAACCCAAACATGCAGGTTTCGGCATTTTTCCCCGCGGATCGGCAATTTTCTCAGCTTGCAAGTCTCCCACTGGTCGACCAGTCACCACTCCACCGGCGGACCGGGGGAGTTGCACTGTCACCAGTCAACCGGTTGGCACTTCCCCTATCCTAAAAATGTTCAAAATCATGTTTTTGACCCTATAACCCAATGGAGAACCAACTCAACTTCATTTGAGATCTCAAAGTGAGTGGATTAGCCACATTAATTCTTGTTCCATTCTATTTATCTTGTTTGAATTCTAAATTCTCAAAGAACCACAATTTGGATTAAGAAGTTGATTATAAACTTTGATTTTTAGTCAAGGCACACTAGTATAATACAATTACACATAATTAAGCTAGCTTGTTTAGAGGTGAGGTTTAAACTCTAATCCGTTATTTTGATGATGATAGCAGCATGATCTGACGTGGAGCTTCAAGAATAGACGATTGGATAACGTGAAGTTATCCATAGACTGAATTGATATCCAAGAGCTAGGATGTACTTGTCCACATCCTTGTTAGCCTATTTAAAATGTATTTGGCCTATGAAAACGTTTTAAAGATAAAACGCATTTGATATCATTGAGATTTAAAGAAGAATTTAAAGTAATATTTTCTTAAAATAAGATATTTTAAGAAATGGTAAAATGCATGATGGCCTAGAGATCCATGTATGGAGATCGTATCCTTGGGGGTAGGTCCCTAAACCCGTACGGGCCACTATGGTGGTGATATCAAGGCTTTGCAATAAGGTAAGTGATTCATCATAATCTTGTGAATCACTTACTGTAATATGGACTTTTGAGATTTACATTTATTTCCTTTCATAAAAAGGATGTTCGGTTTCAAATGATATGTTCGGACCGTGTACTTTCATTTATTGATTCAGTTTTATAAAATTATATCCTACTGGGCCTTTCGCTCACTTTTCCTATGTTTTTAATGTATTTAAAGCCCTCCTAGGCAAAGCTAGAAGTAGTGTCGAGTAGATGGTGATTATTGGTGAGGTGAGCCGAGTACAGGAAGTGAAGATGTGTAACTTATTTCCCTCCTCGTCAATTATAATAAAGGCATGTAAAAGCTTTATGGTTTGTAACCTTAAATTCTACTAGACTCTGGTTGATATCAGAATATTATTTTTCTGTTTTGTTTATGTATGTACAAAAATAGATTTTCCTGTGGGGGATCCCGATGTGATGCTAGAGGCTGGTTTTGGAACTAGTTTTGTTTGAGAGAACCCACCTCACTCTTTCTAAACTAAATTTCCTTAAATTGTGGGGAAATTCTTAAATATATTATCTTCAGAATTGATTTTAGCATTAGTAAATACTTAATTACTTTCTTAATCCTGTTTAATTTCTAAACAAGCCTCTACATCACTAACCCCTGTTTTGGAGCGTGACAAAAGTTGGCACCAATTAGAGGAGGAAAATAACAAAAAACTTTGTCTCTCAAAGAACGTGTCTAGTCCACTAAAAAAGTGGTGAAGGGATCTTTCTAAAATTAGAAACAAAGCTTGGTTAATAAGGCTTTAAACAAAAATTGTAATTACCGAATGGATTAAGTGATAAAGTGTCATAATTTCACCCAAGTCCC